TGCATGTTTTGTAAAAGTGAAATGTCTTTGATCTGATCAAATAGCAAAGAGAATTTAAAATATTTATATATATATAAAGAAAAAAAGCAGGCAGGAAAAAAAGAATATAATACAAAGATTTCCATATGTGCAATTTACAATTTTAAATTTTTTTGTTTTGTTGTTGTTGTTGTTTGTTTTTTGCCAAGTAAAGAAAGATAATCAAAGAAATAATGAAATAAAATTTAAAAAAAATAAATACTACTGTAACGCCTGTGCAAACCTGACAGACGATCACTTAAACATGATCATAAACACGTAGAATTGTTCCATTTTTGATCCTGTGCAGTGATTCAAACATTCCTGTACACTCTGATACTCTAATCACCAACAATAAATCAATAAGTCTAAGGTTTTCAAAAGTTTAATGATATTAATGGGTCCAAATTATGAATGAAAATACTCAACTAAAGCTCACTCACACATTTTCAATTAAAGTATATATATACCTTGAGTGTAGGACATTAATTTTTATAGCACCTTTTCCTGCAAATCTTGCTCGGAGACACCATTTTTTTAGTGTAGGCACATTATTAAGATGCTAGAATGAGAAATCAGTTTCAGCTTTGATGTGGCTACTTAAATTTAGATCCTCGTCCATGATAAAACTAGGATTCTTAACCTGGGTGTTGGTTTTTAACTTGCTTGCTTTCTATGAATTAAATCCTGTCAAAGTGTCTTAAAAAGTCTCTGTACATTACCTCATGTCTCAGGTGCTGGTATTTTTATTAGGCTGTTAAACATGTTTGTATTCTAAGATTATGAAACTGTCCCCACCTGTATATTTTCCTCTCCTTTAGACTGTTGTAAATATTTTCCTACTCAGTTTTTGTTTAAACACGTTCTTTACATATGATGTATTAAAAGCCCTCAATGGTTGTGCACACACTTTTTTGCAATTGTAATTTCAATATATATGCACAGAATGTGAGTAAATAAAATGGTGAATCCTGGAGTTTGTTTTAAACTTTTGGTTTCTGCATGTTGCAATCACACAAAGCTTTAAATACAAGTGTTAATTTTACTGTATATGTTGTGTGTTGTACACTGCAATGAAGCTCAGTGCAGGTGAAACTGACAATCAGCTAAAGTCTGATTGTTGAACTTTCGTGTGGACTGAAAATGAAAATACTAGTCTGGAACTGTAAGGCTGACCCAGTGTTAAATGTGTTTCATCTCATGATTATTTCTCTGATTATTTGCCAATGATAAAAACATGAGCTAAATGATGATTCAAAAGCAGGTTTTTCAACTTTGCTCCTGCTGTGCACAGACGATATCAATAATGTCACCGATAAAGAATTTTAATAACAAACATCACAGCGTACATTTTGAATCCCCAATTCAGTATCACAAATAAATGGCAGAGTAATGCATCTTTCTTCCTTTTTCCTGACATGCACAAGCTCTTCATCCCTTCAAAACTACTATTTATAGAAATTATATATATTTACACAGCTCATGAGGGTAATTTAATGGAAATGCCACCACTCATTAAGGAATGACACAGTGTATACTTTGCGAAACAGAGAACCTGGTTTATTACCATTCAACTCCATCCACCACAGATATTACAGAGCAGATTCACAAGTATTAAGCTTTTTTATTTAACAGCAGCTGCTTTTTTTCCACTCTCTGTTCCCCTGAACCCCCCAAATCCCCCTGCCTCCTACTAGGGAAAAGCATTACAGGTGCACAATTTTTATTTGGTGTGAAGACTGGCCCCTCAAATCATTCAGCTGTAAATCAGTCTCACTGTGAGGTTTTTGTATTACTGTAGGATTTGGTACTTTTTTTCTTCTTCTTCTTTTTTTTTTTTCTTCTTAAAACAAGAGCTGCAAACAGGATTTACATCCACCATGATTCACTGCAGGCGCCAGGCTCCTCCTTCTCATTTCCAGACAACAGAAGAGAATCTGACATTTAGAAGAGGGGAAATTACGACTGTCTACTGTATAAAAATGTACAGTGGCTTTATTGACATACATTCCATAGGTTAAACAGCTGCAAAATAGGAGGCACACCCAGTATTGCACTTCATTAAAAGTTCTGGCTCAAAACATAACCCAGAATATCAAACAAAACTGAAGTGAAGAGTAGCAACTTCGGAATACAGCTATTTTTGAATAGTATCATTATATACAAGATTAGATAAATCGTACACTATTTTCCTCCCAAACATAATATTCTTAACAGTCTTATCCACCAACTTATCTTTTTTTTTTTTTGTCCGTCAACCCATGATGCACTTGACAGTGGAGAATACTGTACAAGATTACGAAAAAAGTTTACATACAACAATATTTTAAATTTATAGTTAGGAAGCTGGAAATACGGCCTGATCCTTTTTTCTTTTCTTTTTTTTTTAAACCCACGCTGATCCACAGTTGCCTTAAAGCAAATTTATTTCATATTCAATGTTTAATCTTGTAGTTACACTTCAGTGATCGGGAGGTGTGCAACGTCTATAGAAGCCGAGGGAATACAACGGCCGCATGCAAACACGTCACAAGTTATTTTCTTTATTTTTTTTCTTCTTTTTTTAAAATTCTATTGTTCTTTTTTCATTCAGGTTACTCTGAATCCAAAGGAGCAACAGCTCGTGCTCGTGGCAGAGCCTGGATACTGATGTTGGTAGAAGAGCAGACCTGAGGACTCTTGGCGCAGAGCAGAAACCTGGTCCGGCGTCCAGGAGACTTGACAATGCAAGAGCCAAGCTTCACGGCTGAGCGTCAGCAGCAGCAGCCAGAAATCACAGTAGACAAACTGGTTTTCGGTTAAAGTCTCGTGTTATTTAGAAGGTGTGGGCGTTCCTGCAAACCCCACAGCCCAGAGCGAACTCTTCCCCCGTTGGTGGGTGGACCACATGCAAGGGGCATTCAGTGCCCTCCAGCTGCTTGCCTTTGGGCCCTGTGACAGAAAAAAAAAGATTCACATGATTTCTCCTTACAGTTACATCAGTCTGCTATTTTCTGTCATTTTTTTCTCTTCACAAAAACTAGAATTACTGCCTTCTGCCTTGTGGTTGTCTATGTTTAGCAACCAGCCACGTTGCAGGTTACACTCATGTGGCGCAGATTCATAACATGGTGAAGACTCTGATTAAATTTAGTAGAATCTAATAAGCCGACTTCTGCTCATCCAACAAAATAAAATTTGCAGCCTTGACAGTAGGTAGCGGTTTGAATGTGGATGCTGCTGCAAAGAAGCTACAGCTTCCAAAACGTGGAAACCAAGATTATGGTCGCCGATTCTATACCAAACAAATGATGAAACAGTCACAAATTCCTCTCCTGTCCTGAGTTGTGCTGCTGAATCATGGCCAGAAGAGTGTTTTTGCAAAACCTGATGATGTCACAGTGATGATAACCTTTTGGGTATGAAATGTCATCCCTCTATCCCATTAGAAAAGTTGTCTTAATGAATGTATGAGTTCTTGAGTTATGGCCAAAAGTTAGTTTTTTGAGGTCACAGTGGCCTTCAACCAACAAAATGTAATTAGTTCATCCTTTGTGTTTAAGTTCATTTTTGTGCCAAATTTGAAGAAATTCCCTGAAGGTGTTCCTGAGACGTCATGTTTGTGGGAATGGGACAGACTTGTTTACATACAGACAAGCTGGAAATGTAATGCCTCAGGGCATGTTTTTTGCAGGCACATGGCATAAAAATTTAGGCAGGTCAGAAGGAAAAGGGAGCTACGACTTATTGGGGAAAAAACAGGTAGGACCAAAAAATACAAATGGGGATATTTGATGTTTGAGCTAAATGATCAGGAAACAAATCACTGACTACCAAATTCCAGTATGCAAATAGTGTCACAGAGCAAAGACAGACATCCAGATCTCTACGCAGAATTCAAGGCTAACTAGTTTCAGCTGTCTGGCACCAACCTCCAAATTCCTGATATCTTGACATCGCTATTCAGCACTAACACATTCGACACCTCAGCTCAGCTCATTCATTTGGTGGCTTGGCGGCTGCTCAAGTAATTCTTAAACTTTAAAATGGTAATGTTTTCACTTGGTTAATGTATATTATTCTATGACAGGAGGAGTAAGGAGCTTTAGTTTTTGATATATCAAATACAAGATGCAGGCTCCATGATCACCCTCCTAATTTTAATATGGTCCCTAAAGTCTGATTAAAAGTCTAAATATTTGGCCATTCAACGTGTCGTCAACAGAATCACTACGCACCTGCAGGACAATGCGGCAGTTCCTCCTTGGGGACACTGGTCATCCTCTGGAAGTCATCGTGGCAGGCGTTACAGAAGTGTGTGGTGCCAAAGCAGAAGAAAACAGCCACAGAGCAGCAGTACCGGCATTTATACTCAAGGAAGTCTGTGCCATGCTTGGAGCACATCTGAGGAAAGAACGCAGGAAACAACAAGAGTGGGATTATAGCTTTGTTTTTGTTTTGTTTTTTAAACAAAGAAGCACCATTTAAAGGAATAATAGGATAGTTATTTAAAATTGAGGTTGCCACAGAGATGAAACAAGATATGACATGTTAATCAGTAAGCTTTAAAGGTGCAGGAAGGTGGATTTTGTTACTTTTGAGCAGACAAAGCCTAGTTGCTTACCCTGTTTCCAGTCTTAATGCTAACCCTAAGCTAAGCTCACCAACTGCTGGCTAGAGCTTCAGATTTAG